TTAAAGGGCCCCCCCCCCCCCCCCCCCGGACAGCCGGTTCTCAGCTTTCCCTGTTTGCTTGCCTACCTCGATGAGGGACAGCAAAACATTTTATCTCTGTGTACTCTGGTTGCCCTCACTTAGGACACCACAACACTCTGCAACATGGAGCCAGAGCTGCCCCTGGGCACTCCGGTGCTTCTCGCGGATGTGTTGCTGTGAGCCTGGCTGCACTTTCTGCAGGCTGCCATCCGGGAGGTCCATCAGGGGGCTGTCAGTATCCAGGAGGCCCTGCGGGAGAGCTTCCACCCTGAGGAGCACTAAGAGCCTCCTTGGTCTGCCCCACAGGGGGCTTGTGCCTCATTCCTCCCTCACGTCATTCCACTTTCCCTTCCCTAATCCCCCTTCCTGATGTCAAATAAAATACATGTATTTTCATGAACACAAACTCTCTTTATTTAAAGAAAACTGAGGGGGGGAGGGATGAAACTCTGGTGAGACTGGAGAAAGGAGGCGGGAGAGGGGAGAAGAGAGGGTGGGAAAGAGGAGGGGGAAACATGGGAGGAGGGAGATGGAAGGGGGAAGCAAGGGGAAGAAGGGGGAGGGGAAGCTCAGGGTTGGGGGTCTCACCAGACCAACTTAATTTTCATGCAAACCTGCTCCTGGGTTCACATACGGCTTTTGGTGGCCAGTCTGGCAGCTATCCTGCCGTAGATGGCCGCATTCTTCCGTCTGATGCGGAGATCGTGGATGTCCAGGGCATCTCCCCCAAACCTGAATAAGGTCCACGATCTCCACCCTAGATCAGGAAGGTGCCCGCCTTCTCCAGGACCTGGCAGGCTCCTGGGAGCTGGCAGACTGCTTCTGGGGAGCAGTGGAGAGCTGGCTGCCAGTGGCTTGTTGGCTCATGTTTTGGGGCCACTGGGTTAGGGGCAGTAACTGCTGACTCTGGGGTGGCAGGCTTGGAGCTGGCACAGGCACTGTGGCCAGAGTCAACCCCTTTAAGGGCTCCGGGGAGTGGGGAGGGAGAGGAGTGTTCTTGGTTGAGGCTAGAGTGGCCACCAGGGCACCCTGGGAAGGCTGGAGGCCCCCTATTTCGAAATAAGTGTCTACACAGCACTTATTTCGAAATAGCTATTTCGAATTTGGCATTATTCCTTGTGGAATGAGGTTTACCAAATTTGAAATAAGTGCTCCGCTATTTCGAATTAATTTTGAAATAGCAGTTTGGCTGTGTAGATGCTAGTAAAGTTATTTCAAAATAACTTTGCTGTGTAGACATACTCAGAAGCAGCAGCACAAGGAACAGGGGATCTGGTTTTTAAACTGGCTCCCCTTGCAGACCAGCTCCCACGTGGCACCCCGCACTGTTGCCTCTGATACAATGACTGCCAGCCCCACCTCTGGGGACTATAGAATAGCCGACTAACTGATAAAATTTCATAAGGTTACTCAACTATTCAATTAATCAATATTTAACATCCCTATTTGCTTCTTCGCCCCTCCACTGCCTCTATCAGAGAGAGGTCAGGAAATGATGCAAGTGGGGACTGCTTCAGTCCCCACTTGCGCTGGATATCACGGCAGGGACTTCTGCTTTTGAAATGTACAGGAGCCCTCCGGGGCTCTAGTACATTTCAAAAGCAGAGTGCAGTAGGGAGCACAGGGTGAACAGTGTTCCCCCCCATAAGAGGCAGCAAGGGAGGGGGCAGGAGGCACCCTGGAGCTGGTGCTGGGAGAGCCTGCTTAAAATGCTCAGTAGGGGACAAGCATCCTCTGTTCACAGTGGCCAGCCCTGGCTACCATGAACAGGGGTGGTGCTGGAGCAGTTTCTGTTTGCAGCAGCCAGGGCTGGCCATCATGAACAGAGGCTGTTCCAGCACCAGCCCCTGTTCACGGAAACCAGAACTGGCCACAGACAGAGGCTGCTGCCTGAGCAGTCCCTGCCCGGGGCAAGCCTTGGCCGCCGCAAAAAGAGGCTACTTTGGCACCAACCCCTGTTTGCAGGGGGCAGGGCTGTCTGCCACAAACAGGGGCTGCTGGACTCAGTGTGAGCTGTGACAGAGCAGTCCAAGCTCATGCTGATCGCTGCACCTCTGCATTTTAAATGTAGTAAGAGCCCAGCTGCTCAGTCCTGGCTTGAGTCAGCTTGAGTCGGCCCCTGAAGCGCCGGCTCTGCAAAGTGGTGCTCATTGACTAATTGTATAGTCAATATAAATTGTATCAACTATACGATTAGCCAGATAATTGTATTTCAACATCCTTAAATGTGGATATCGGATAATAATACTTGTGGTGGTCATATGTGGTTTCCTCCTTAAAGTATATTCTGTCAAACTGCCCACAGATCAATACCATTCGGCAACTATTAGGAGGTGGCTAGCTAAGTCTGCTAAAAACTCATTTGTTTTATTCAGGGCCGGTGAGAGGCTTTGCTGGACCCTGGGAGGTGGCCACCGTGGGCTTTGGTGTGATTTATAGGACCTGGGGCTCCAGCCATTGCTGCTGTTGGGACAGCGGTAGCCATGGCTAGGAGCCCCAAACCCTTTTAAATCACGGGGCCCTGGAACAGCTCCCATCTTTCACCACTGACTATGCATTGACAGCCCTGCTTTTATTCTAACTTCACGCTCCTAAACTACCCACACCATTTTTGAGTGTTTCATCCACCTGACATATAGGTTGCAAACTCTCTCAAGCAGGGAATGTTTTATGTTATTTGTCTGTATGTCTAGCACAATGGAACCCTGAATCTTGCATGCTACTAACATCGTGGACACCTCTCCACACGAAGCTGGAGTGAGACCATCAGGTTATTTTAGAAGCAACTACAAAAAGTCATCAGATGGCAACAACTCAAGGTTATCGCTAACTAGTGGCAGTTTTGAAGCGATTTAGAAGTAAAAGAATATGATGTTCTAACAATTCCATGTGACATCCAGTCTCCCTTTCCTTTGCTTCAGGAAAGCATTTTCAAAGACAGTCAAAAATGATAATAAGTCTTGCTTGCCTGTAGATAGTGGAAGTGTTTCTGAGATCAAATCCTGATGAGTTTATTCTTTCTAAAAACGCTTGCGCGAGTTCTGGTGTGATATCATACACTGTATCCAACTGCTTTGTTGCATTGTCATAGCTTATGAATAGTCTCATCTAATTAGTTCAAACAAAGACATAACATCAGGAATCTATACCAATTAAAGACATTAATACACATATTTTATCCTATAAACAATCATTTGCCTCCATTCAGATTACACAGATGGCACAAAGAGCAATTTGGATAATACAAAGTTCGAGAAGGCAAAGACCAGTAGTTCTGTAGCACTCCTAAATATTTTAATGTGGGGCCTGATCCTGCCTCATTTGAACAACTCCCTGTACAATCCATGAAAGTTTTGATGAAGACAGATTATGGGAAAGAGACTATGAAGGCACACACATCGGATAAAGCACCGCAAGATGTTGTACATTTTTCAATTTTAAAAGAGGCAGCGGAATGGTTCATTAATAAATGATTGACTGAACTTCTGGATTTAGTTTGCAACTATTTTAAACAGACACCTATCTCTTTCATATTTAGGTTTGGGCTTGTGATAATTCTGGCTGTGCAGCACATGATTAATTGTTACTTCCAAACACATTTTTTCCACTTACTTCATTCAGACTAATTTTCATAATTTCTTCTAATGGAAGATGGACCATGTATCTTCCCAAAATCCATAGATTTTCTGCACTGACCCAAGAGGTTGAATCATTTAACTCTGTTTTGTAAAAAATATTAATTCAAATGTAAATATTCATTCAGACTGTCATTGTGATTACACATTAATATTAAACTCAGTATACCTTCATTGCTGGATAATCAAAGGATCTCTAAAATCACAATACTACTAGGTCCTGGTCTTAAAACTGGATAATGCCAGACAGTTTAAATTCATAAATGGTGAGGAGGAGATGAGTTGTAACCAACATTTTTCAAACCCTAATAATAGAAGTATATTCATTAATATTTAACATGTTAATAAATCAGTCTTATTTGTTTTTAAAACTTTCCACTGGGATTTATGCACCCAGCTATTGCAATTTTGTGCTAATGCATAAGAATCAGAAAGTGAAAATGACTAGTCTGTCTGTATTGCCTAAACTGAACAAAATACAAAAGTAAAAAGTAACAGTTTTTCTGAAATTCAGTTTTCATAATCAGGTGTGTTATTCAGTAACACAAATAAAGCACTTTATCTCTGTATACTATCAACCTGACAGGGTCCATTTCAATGACTGATTATATGCTATGACTATGCAGAAAAACTCTCATTGTTAACTAACCTGATATTAACCTCAGAAAAAGTGAAAAATATTTAGCACAGCCATAAATTAGGATAAAAGCTGAAGAAATACAACAATATATTAATAACAATAATTTGCATTTCTATAGCACAATCCTAATGTTTTTACAAATAAACTATCACAACAGCCCTGGGAAATAATTAGCCCCATTTAACAACTAGAAAAACTGAGGCACAGAGCAGCTAAGGCTGAAATTTTCTAAAAGTGTTTATAAATTTTGGGTGTCTCAATATTTGGGTGCTCCACTTGAAACATCTGGGGCCCGACTGGCAGAGACACTGATCACCCACAACTCTAGTTGTTTTCTATTAATAGTCATGAAACTTTCAGCAGCGCTGAAAAATCAAGCTATGGTTGTTTCAGAATGAGGCACTCAAAATTAGTGGGCACTTTTGAAAATAGATCTTAAGTGATTGCCTTAAATTGATATGGTGAGAGAGAGTTCAGAATAAACTTGAAAAGTCTTTGCTTCCAGTCCCTTGCTTTTATCAGAAACCATACTACCTCCCTCCAAGCACAGTAAGAAACAGGAAGGAAGAGAGAGAAGAGGAAAAAGGGAGGGGAAGGAATTTTAATAATGTAAAGATCCTGACTGCTGCATTTAACAGAACAGGAAACCTGCTTTTAGTAACACTGCTTAGAGTCCCTTGAGCCTTTTTTGTTCTTTAAAAATCAGGCAGAAAATATAAAACACATTAGCACCTGTTTTTGTAAAAGCCACCAGAGTACACCAGAGACTGGTATTTTAATAGGAAGGAAATGAGAGTTATTGAGAAACAAATTTCCAGAGGGATGTGTTTGAAACATTAAAACAACATGTCATCTCATGTTGAGCCTATGACCTTGGTCAACTGGGCAAGAAAACATGCTGTGTAGAAGCTCTCTTCCATTAAACAGGAACAATAAATATAAAAACAAAGAAATATCTGGGAAAAAAGCTAGCAACAGTGTGGGGAAGGCAGCCTACTACATAACACAGATATGTTTCAAGATTCTCACACTGTTGAGCATTAAATGGAAGGAGGGGATGCTGGAGATGGGAGTGAAAGTTCTCTGCTTTGTGTTGTCTTCATACTGCTCCTAATCCATAATGGTCATGGGAGTAAACAAGAGGCCATGACAACCAAGACCATTTACTAATGCTGGAACTCTTAGGTGGGCTCTGTAACTCTACTTCTTGGCTGTATATTTGCTTGTTAATTAAGGGAGGACTCACTTGTACTCAGGCACAAATCTGGAAGTCAGACGATCTGGACTCTTTACAATTCTGCCTCAGACTTGCTGTCACCAAATAATAAATCTCTGTTTCTCAATCTGTAAAATGGCATTAGTACCTCGCTCCCTCTCTCCCTCCCAGGGGTGTATGAGGCTCACTCATTATCTGTGTTTACAAATTACTCTTCCATGTTCAGATGGATAATTGCATCAGAGCTTGATCCTGCTCCACTGGAGTCACTGGACATTTTGCTATTGATTTCAATGGGAAGAAGATCAAACCGTAGAAGAGCAAATTGCTATTACTACTACTGGGCTGCGAGAGTGTTTGGTGAAGTATAAAAGCATGCCCTGATGTCTTGTTGCTATTGCTTTGGTGCCCTCTAGTGGAATATGTACTATATACTGTAGGGCCCAATAGCTGTGAAAGGCATATAAAATTGGGTGGGAGGGACATTTATTTTACTTTGCTTTTAATTTTGTCATTTCTCTGAATAATCCAGTGCCCCAACGTAGAACCCTCAAAGCTTCCTGTTATAGTTAAAAACAAGGTAGCTAACATTTTCAAAGATCACCTATTTTTTTAGTCCAAACAGGGTACAACAAGTGTACTTCACCACTGTACGGAGAGTCTGCATAAGGATATACACCACTTAAATCCCATATAAGCCTTAATAACAGGACCAAAGGGGGAGATGGCATTTCTGCATGGTCCTTTGCACAAAGGTGAAGTTCACCTTCAAGAATAAGAATATTTGATCATTTTATCTGCTGTGCATCGCTAGATAAAGGACATATCTGATGAAGAGACATATAGTATTTAAGAGGGCTACCCTTAACACAACTCTGTGCATAATATGGAAAAAAGTTCACTAGTAAAGATGAACCCTTTCCTGGCTATGTTTCCAGAGAGATAAGTAAATCTTCCTTTTAAAGTTCAACATACCATTGGTGATATAGGATTTCTGTAGAATTTGCTTCATCCAGTCATAAAGAGTTCTTTGTGCATTTGCTGTTGTCTTGTCATAGAGGTCCTTGAATACTGCTGATCTAAATGATATTTATTGGCATGCAAATGTATTGATAAGTGAAGTTTCTTCTAATGGTATAAATTAGCAAACATGCTTTTAAATAATCAGACAATGAAAACTAAACAGAAAGTTATACCTTAATGTTAGATACAGAACTACTATATCAAACTTTTTTAAAAAAGTATATTTAATCAGAAGACAATAGAAATGATTGTTTTCATTGGGAAATAAATGGCTTACAAGTTTCTGAAAGTGTCTTGATGAAGATCTTTAGGGAGGCTTCTAATGACATCAGGTTGGAGATAGCTCATTGAAGACACCCGCAGAACTTGGCTTAGTATATCCACACATTCCATAGAATTCAAAGCTGAAAAGCATTTCTCCAATGTAACAAGGAACAATGTCCTGTTTCCTCCTGGGCTTTGGAAAATTCTCTCCCTAATTTTGTCCAGATCGAGAACAAAATTTCCCATTTCCTGCAGGAAGCCAAGGATAAAGTGAATATATTTGATTTCATCACTAATTTATTTTTAATCTGAAGCATGAAAAAGCACTGTAGACACAATATTCCATTATTTTGAAACACAGCAGTCATAAAATACTGTGTCTGATTGCATTAGTGGAGATTATTCTTTTTTCCTACGGGCCAAAAAGCAATGTAAGTCTCTCAATCAAAGTGAAAAGCAGAAAAAGGCTACTGATGGCTGAAGATTCTGGAGAATTCTCCTGAATACATGGGAAAATATGAAGAATTCTGGCTACCTGTGCATAAAGTATGTATGTACGCGTAAGTAGGTAGGTAAGCACCTTGGACAAACACTAAAAACATATCATAAGAACAATCTTACTCCAATATAGTGATGGATTAGAACGAATAGGTCATTTCCCAACTTAAATTTCCATGGCTTAAAGACAGCACTTTCAGGTCTGATGTTTCAGTGTTAGTGCTAGGGATGATGATTTGGCATCACTGTAAATCAGCCCAAGACGTGCTTGTGAATACCTTAAGAGAAAATCAACAATTGGTCTGATAGCACTTTATAGACTAACAAAACATGTAGATGGTATTGTGAGCTTTTGTGGGCACAGCCCACTTCTTCAGATGACTGGAAGTGGGCTGTGCCTATGAAAGCTCATGATACCATCTACATGTTTTGTTAGTCTATAAAGTACTATCAGACTAATTGTTTTTTTCTGTACAGACTGAGGGTATGTCTACACTTGCAATGCCTACCCAAAAAGCACTTCATTTGCATAATCGCATTATGGCGCTATTTCGAAATAAAACACGCTGTGTAGATGTGTTATTTCGAGAGAAAACCCTTCTCTCAAAATAACCCTTATTCCTCATAAAATGAGGTTTAACAGTTATTTTGAGAGAAGGGTTTTCTCTCGAAATAACACATCTACACAGCGTGTTTTATTTCAAAATAGCGCCATAAGGCGATTATGCAAATAAAGTGTGGGATATTTAAATCCCAGCTTCATTTGCCATTTCTAATGTCTGCATTTGCATCCCTCTCTCGAAAGAGGGTGCAACTGTAGACATACCCTGACTCAGCTACCTCCTGATGCTTAAAAGAAAATGTCATTTGCAGCTCTGATTAGTTCATAGCTCCCAAAGTGTTTTAGATATTTACCGGTGCACTCTGACAAAGCGATCTGAAACACAACTGTCTGAGTACAGCAGACTATACAATACACTGAAGTCTCGTATTATCCAGGCACTCACCACATCTCTCTATAGAAGCATCCTCTATTTCTCCTGACTTGCTCTCCTCCATGTCCAGGACATCTCCCATCACAGAAGATCCTGTCTTCCCTATACATGAACACCAAGTAATGGCCCCAGTCCTGGGAAATGATATATGTGGAGGTGGACCCCTAACATCCATGTGAAACACCACTGATTTCAATAAGACACTATATTGGTGTAAGGGTCCAATATACTGAACACACTACAGTATGAGATCCTAGACTGGTACAAGAAAGAGCTCTGTTCACTACATAATTGCTTAATGTACTGTTCTCATATCCCCATACCCAATCAACCAGGGATGCAAGACAGCACACCTGGGAATCTAATCCAAGTCTGCTGTGTTACGGTGTGAAACACTCACAACCCACCCCACATGCACATACAGTCTGCCCTTCTTTCTATTTATATTTAAACATCAAAAGGCAAGTCTTACTTTTCACACAATGAGTGCAAAGTCACTTACAAAATGGTTCTTTTTGCTCCTGAAGAGATATTTCATTGCAGTTTGAAACTGCTGGTGATTAACCTGTTGAAAATCTGACAGCAGCTGCTTGGGCTGATATAAAAGGTTCTCAAGGTAGTTTTTTATAGACAACTGCAGAGAAGAGGGGAATAATAATATATATATATATACATATACATATAATACACACACCTCTTCATCTTTTACTCCCAGAAAGTCTTCTGTTTAAACACTCCAGGCTGAAAAGGTAGGAACTCCCAAATTCTAATTCTGGCTCCAATGACTCCCTCTGTGGCAGCAGGTAAGTCATTTTACATGTATGCCTCAGTTTTTCCATTTTTTAAAAAATGGGAATAATACTTATCTACTTTATGTAGTGATGAATCCCTTAATTCACTTTGAAGATCTACAACCCTCTGAATAATAATGCATAAAGTAATCATAATACAAAGCTGAAAGAAATATGAAACTGGATGGGAGGGAAAGTACATGTGCCAGATCCTCAGGCAATGAACCACGTCACACCCCTGAACTCTTTACCAGTGAACAAAATCCTATCTATGATACCATTAAGAGAAACCATTATAAGAAGTACTCGCTTCTCACCTTTACCATTCCTAGGACTGGATGCTCTTGAATTCTAACAATACTATTTCAAAACTAGTGTGAAGTTCAAGTTTTAATTTTTGTTGCTGTCTTTGCTCGAGGTGCAAAAAGATCCACATTGCAAGCAAAACACATTTTACCGTGCTTAGAGATTGCAAGTATTTTCTGCTCCAGGAAGTCTATGGCTGACTACACTGCTTGGCAGTGTTAATGAAGCTAATCAGTATAAATGGATTTTAAAATCATGAGAAGCAGATGGGAGAAGCCTTTGTTATAAATATAGCAATATGAGTGATATGGTTATCTGTCTTTTACATTGCACATTTTTTCAGTTTCTAATTATATCTATTATGATTGAATATTACTTACAACACTCTTCCTGTACCTGTAACTGGAATACAGCTGGCTCTGTGTGCAATGTAAATCCTTAAAACACTACATCCTTCATATCCAGTATGTACAAACTACAATACAGTTATCCAACTGATTGATTAAATCCTAGAATATATTCCTAAATATTAAACTGCCAGTATAATCAGTTGAAGGCTTAACAACATGTACAATTTTAACCAGAACTTCATCTGGTGTAAATAAACGTAGCTCTAATGACATCAACTCAGGATCTGTCCCTTTCATCTAAATGTTCTCTACACTGTTGATTACCTTATGCATTAAATCCTTTTCGTAACTTTTATTTCTACTTTAATTCATATTATTTTATTTCTGCTCAAAATCAATAACCCTTATGCTTGTGACTATTCACAGTTATCAATTACTACTTTAAACTTGTAATAACAGCTCTCCATGAAAGCTTCATAAAACTAAAATTAAAAGCAAAACCTTAACGTAAATCCTTATAGTGTTGGAAGAGTTATGATGGTGAAATGGAGTCATGGGACATTGACCCGTGTGCTTCTGAATGGCCATAGGCTTTTTAAGAAGGTTAAGAATGCAAATTGGATATCAGATGTTTTTATTATTGGGGGCGGAGTGATCTGGACTAATGGGTGCAGCTCCACTGATACTGATAACATTACTTCAGGTCTTAACTTGGCTCATCGTCATCTGTAATGACTGAAGATAACTAAGGGTGTGTACTTCCTGCACTACTTACACTGCCACTAAAATATTTTTTAATACAAAACAGTCTTTGAAAGGAGAGTGAGTATTTTGCAGGAAATCTAGTTTCTCACACACTTTAGACATAATGCAAAGCACAGCCAGGCCTGAAGTATTGGTAGGAAAATATTCTATTTTATGGAGAAACACGGTGTGGCTAAGTTAGTTGGCTGGCAATTACTGTACCAAACAGTGCATGCAAGCCTACAATGCAAACATTTGGGCCCTGCCTTGCCTTCAAAAATGGAGCAAAGGGGCCCTTTTCTTTATTATTTGTGTCTTAGTCCTTTACAAACTTCTGATGGCCATAGAGTAAATAGGGTTGCCAGGTGTCCAGTTTTGAACTGGACAGCCAAGTATTTGAGCTTTCTGACCAGGAAACAAATTGAGAAAATACCGGACATATAAATGTCTAGAATTTACGAATTAATATTTTATTATTATCATGAGTGTCGGTACATAGTTGCGTACTGCCTGGCTGGTAGACACGCTCACACTGCGTAAGCGTGTCTACCAGCCAGGCAGTACACAAGGGGCTGGGGCGGGATGGACTCCCTGGAGCCTGACTCGCCCATGAACCCTGCCGGGACCGTGCGTGGGACGAGCAGCACCCCGGAATCTGTGTGTGCCCGGGCCAGCCCCGCTCCCCGGTGGCCAGATCCCCCTCTCTCCCGCACCCCCTTCAGCCAGCCCCGCTCCTCACAACCCCTTCTCGGCCAGTCCCCCCTGCCATCTGAGATCAAGTGTGTCCGGTATTTTTTTTAAACCATCTGGTAGCCCTAAAAGCAAAATACTCTATCCAAAATTTAATACTGACCTGCAGCATTACACAGATTTTTTTTTGCCAATTGTATACTTTAACTTCACAATTTAGATTACAGATAGAAGCTTCCTTAATATTTTCTGCCTCTCTCTTTAGTAAGAAAGTTTTGGTACTTAAAAGTGTACTAACCTGTAGGTTGCTAATAGTAAATATAACATTCTGAGCATGGAAATATGCCATGATTTTTTTAGGCATATCTGTTGTCCATACATTAGTGCTACAGTGGAAAACAAAAGCAAAATACAGGTGAAATAATAAACTACTTTTGTTTACCAGAGAAAATAAATATGACAAACAAGTACAATTACTAAGAAAACAGTGATGCAAGAATTTAACTCATCTTTTTGCCAAAACAGATTTACATTTAAGCCCATTGTTACAATGAAAAAGAATGAACAAAGTAAACTATCAAAAAGTTTGTGAAGGATTCCCAACCTCATGAATGAATATTTCTGTTTTGGTATGAAAAATGGTTTCATACTTGTTAAGATGAATTAACAATTTTCATTATAGTTCTAAATCTTCACAACTAAATGCATCAAACCACTGTAGAATGGTTTGGTGGTTTAGAATTCTATACACAGAACCTGTAATAATGCAGGTCATAGAGCTAACAGTATGTATCAGTGATGGACAACCTAGACTAGTGAGTGAGCTGTATGAGTGGACCTCCATCTCAGTGGGCCACAAGATTGTCCCAACCCAGGGTGTGTCTAGACTACATGCCTCCTTCGACGGAGGCATGTAGATTAGCCAGATTGGAAGAGGGAAATGAAGCCGCGATTAAAATAATCGCGGCTTCATTTAAATTTAAATGGCTGCCCCGATCTGCCGATCAGCTGTTTGTCGGCAGATCGGGGGAGTCTGGACGCGATGCCCCGACAAAGAAGCCTTTCTTCATCGACACAGGTAAGCCTGGTTTCACGAGGCTTACCTGTGTCGATGAAGAAAGGCTTCTTTGT